TTTTGGAAAAATTATGAAAAAATTGGGTTTAACTTTTGTGAATGGTTACAAAAATTAACTTAAATGATTCTGTTTGTTAAATGTTTTTTATATGCCTGAAATATAAATTACTCAGATAAGTAGTACACAATGTAAGCTGATTTGTAATCTCTAAATTTGAAATAATAAGCATTTTGAAAAATAATATTGACATTAGTAGTCAAGATTCAAAAATTGGTGTTGGTAAAAACAATTTCACTGATTTAGCATTTTAGGCATATTCGATGGGTTTTAAATTCACAGTCGTATCATTTAGATAATGTGTTCTATGCTCAATTTTACATATTATTCACTGGGTTTAATTTAGCGCATTTTCCAGTCAGCGAAATAAGCAAAATTAAAACCCACTGAATAATTAACCCTTTTACAGTAACTCACTCGTTGCTCTAGATTTGGTGTATTGAATTATTATTACAATGCACATGCAGTCCTGTAATTGGGGGGCATACACACCTTTTAACAGCACACATTTGTTAGAGATATCGCTAAAATTGTATATAGTTTAATACCCACCTCCTCTATTGACTAACAACATGATCTTTTCACTGAAGTGTTTAGCTGTCTTTCTCTTTGCCAGGATTTTCATCACAAAGTTGCTGGAAGGCACTGAAATTGAAGTTTTACAAAAACAACATTATTATTGTACATCAGTAGTATATATGTACATTCTAAGAACCCAGACTGATTAAAAGTTAGGTTTTGAAAAATACATCTCCCAATTCTCAGTATCTCGAAGACAGCGACTTGACCTCTGAACATCCTCCTTTGACACAATCGGTGTCGGACAAAGTGAAATATTCTTTGTTTTGCTGGAACGGAGTTGGGAAAGATAATAATTTAACAGTTGAACAGCAATCTAACAGACAGGTTGAGATGTACCTCACTGGATTCAATATCTTGTACATTGACCTAACACAAGTAGTGCAATAATTTGGTAAATTGCAAATGACATGATGATGGAGTACCTTAACACTGCTATACACTAAATCTCAGTGACAAGAAAAATGATTGCAAGGGTTGCAGGAATTAGAATTAGTGTTAACAAAAGTCAGCAAATCACAGCAGTAGCCGTTTGAACACCAGAGCATTCTGCTAAATTTTCAAATGCAGGCATCATCTACAAAATGGTCAAAGTATAGTCTGCTCTTTTCCCCAGAAAATGTTGATGAAAATTTATAATTTTTTGATCAAAAAATAAAAGCAATGTCACATTTTATCTGTTCGTTCCAAAATAATGATTGAATTTAGCAAAAATTACAGAAAATTTGAACAAACTTGTGTCATTTTGAGAGGAAAAACAACTTAGTGCTCAAAGGGTTAAAGCAATGATTTACATACTTGGTCCAACAATCGTTACCTTGAAAGTGTAAATTAAAAGCTAAAATTAAACTAATAAACAACTCAGGTAGTTGTTCATCAATGTCTTCCGGTGGTGGGGATTCCACGTTGTCAAACAGGAAAGCAACGAAGGACTCGTTCAGATGATCTGAAAAATACACAGTAATAATCTCAAAATGGAAGAACGATAACAAAATGATTTCTTTACTTTTACCGTATGGTTTTATTTTGGGCTGGTACTCATAAAATTAAATGATGATTTTTGATCAATTTACCATTGGTTGCCATGACAAATTGGGAGAAAATCATGTGTCTCTTTTTGAACAGGACAAATAACCATTACCAACCTTGAAGAATGGATTACACTGTTTGGTATATAAAATAAATAAACAAAAGATAGCCACAGCTATCACAATTACCATGGCATTTTATAAAAATAAAAATAATTTGACAGCAAGTATTGGGGCAGCCAATTTGCAAACTCGCTAGCGAATTGGCTAACTGCTTTGGTTTTGACTGAACTGTTGGCTTTCGAATCTCGCAGGCGCCGTCCTGTGTTCACGCCCACTCTGGGTGAATCTATATAACAGTCGGGGTCGTCATACTTTTAATAGTTGGATGGCGATTTCACTTTCAAATATACCAGGGAAAGTGTTCTATTTTCTTTCGTAATGAGGTGTTCATATACAGGGACTGTCCACGCAAAAACGAGGAATGAAGTCGATTTTTATTAGCGGTTGGTTTAATGTTACCCCAACGAATCGTTGGATGTGAAGATTTATGTTTTGTAGGCAACTTTTTCTCAACTTTTCTCTTTATTTAGTTTCTACCAGTGTTCAAGATGGCTACCTCCATATAGTAAATATCGGTAGATTAATCGCATTTATCATATTATCACTTGTACGCCAGATGACTGTGGCCATTCTCAGGCTGGCCAGGGAAACTACTTTCACAGTATCATGCCTTGCAAAGCAAATCATTTAGGGGAATCAAGACTACGTACGTACCAGGCTACGTGAAAGCATTCCATGTTCCCTAATGCAATATAGACTCGCCCAGAGTGGACACGACCACGAGTCGGCGCCAGCGAGATTTGAAAGCCAACTGTTTAGTCAAAACCCAAGCAGTTAGCCAATTCGCTAGCGAGTTTGCAAATTGTCTGCCCCAATACTTCCGAGACTTGCTGTAAATGATCTACATTCCCACACTCGGGTTAGAAAAATAGATTTTCTAAAAAGATTCATTCATACTTAATTCTAAAACATACCATCACCAAAAGCAAGACTAACAAAGGCAGACCAACTCACCGTAATGACTATATGGAAGGGGTTCACCTGATGAAAGTATCATCGTAAGCACCAATGACGAATAAAAGACACGCTGTAACTCTGTGCAGTTAGTCTGTATATCTCTGGCTAACTCCATCGGTAAAATAGACATCACAAGATGAGATATTACCATGGGATCCAACCCACAAAGGGCACCAAATACTTTCAACAATGCTAATCGAATGCTCAATCTTTTTTCCTGGAGGGCACAAAGAATTCAAGAAGAGTCAATAAAGATGACAAAAATCTGGCTGGCATGTAGAAGATGGCTTTGTGTCATCAGCTAGGAAATTTATGGAGGGAAGTTGGCAAATTTTTCAAATTTTTCATGGTACTTACGGTAAATGAATCTTTTTGTAAGCTAAAACCACACTTTACAGGGGTATTTGAAACCAAAATCGTCATCTAATTGTAAGGCCGTTGCTGATTGGCTCCTGAGTTGAAAGACGATTTTAGTTTCAAAAACCCTTGGAAAGTGTTCTAGGTTCTTTGTGTAATCAGGGGTTGATGCACAAAGAAATTTTCAACACAGAAGCGTCAAATTCAGCGAATTTGATTAGTGGTTGGCTTAATCAGACCCTAATGAATCGTTTGGTTGTGTAAATTTGATATTTTTTTCTTTATTTGTAAGAATCTGAAAAACCTGTCTCTTTATTTAGCTTCAAGTGTATTCAATATGGCTGGTCCCATACCGTAAATATCAGTAAATGAATCGCATTCATTTTATTTTCACTTGTTCACCAGCTGACTGTGGCTAAAACATGTTGAATTGCTACTTTATTGTAGAATTTATAGTGCTAAGTAATAATTTCAGGTGAAATAAAAGTCAGTGAATTGATACATGTTGGCTGATCACAATATTATTAGCACCAAACAAGACTTACTTATATTGGCAGGCACAACTCAGTATGACCTATCAGTATTAAGCATACATAGACAGAACTTGGACTTCACAGAGACACTGAATCGCCTTGATGCTAAACACGTTTACCTTGGTGCAATTTTATCATTTTTGGCTTTGAAAATAGGTATCACCTCAACTGTGAAGATCAAGTCCTACAGAGATGTCTAACTGACTTACCATTTGGTAGTACACCACTAGTGATTGCAAACTATCATAACTATCACGGCACACAATCGCCTTGCATATTTTGGGATTAGCATCATTCTGCACAAACAAAAAGAAAATTAAATTGGCATAATCTGTGTTTTTTTACAAATTTCCAAAATATTTGTAATCTATGAGAGTCCAAAAATAGCACATGTCAAGATGACACCTGCACTTTACACATTTTTGTGTTATTGCAATTCAGTGTACCGTTAGTGTGCTATGTACAGTAGAATACGGAAATGTTTGTTTTGGAGGATATTTTGTTGGTACAAACAAACCTTTAAATGCATTAATCAACACATTTTAAATATTACACATATACCTTGTTGTGGTATTGAATGATTTTAATGAAAAAACAGCAACAAATGTATCACTACATCAATGTTCAATCTATTAGACAAACTAGCTTTGAATTACCGTTCAAATCCCAAGTAAATAGAGTGCAACTGAAAAATTAACCCAATGTTACCCGAACATTTTGTTTTTTCACCGGGGTCAGATAGATATGCAAGAAACAGCATATATCTGCCTAACTTACCAGTATTGAAACAAGCTCCTCAAGATACTCTAAAATAATAGGTTCGTCCTCATGTAGAGCCCAACTTCTCTGCTGGGAATCCTCCTTACAAGTTATCAACTCAGAGAAGATCACTTCCAGTCTCTCTCTATCGTAACCACTTTCAATGACATCATCATCTTTCTGCAAGAGCAAGACTTTGTCAAGCATGCCTGCCCTCTAGAGGCAGAAAATGGTATTTCCATTGTTTTTTCATATAAGGGGCCAATCAAACATGCATGCTAGCCTTGATTTTTTGGTATAGTGTATTTGACCACAGAAACAACATTCCCTGTTTAAGATTACATGCAGTTGATGCACTATCTTGGTGTCAAATGAACACAAACACCTGTGGACCTTATTCAAGATTCCCCCAAATATTAATTCACTGAAAAACATTAATTAGAAAAAATCTATGAAGAAAACACATACAATTAAAATGTTCAACTTACAGGACCATCTCGTAGACTTTTTAAAATTCTTTCCATGACACTGGCCACGGCTGGTATATTCATTCCGATATGACTGAGGGTGGTTCCAACAGCAATCTTACACTTTTCAAAGTTTAAATTAGTGTTAGCTCTCACAATGTCAACAAGTTCAAAAGCTATCCCGTCCGGCACTGCAACATTAAGACTTGTTGTCCTGCTGACGGCCATAACACTGGACGATGGTGAGAACGTTCTAGACATCATTTTGGATGCTAGCATAGATGTTGATGGTGTAAGTGACAGCGAAGAAGTAACAAGTGGCGGAGTCATTGGTGATGATCCAAAACTTGTTATTGAATCATTGCTACATGCAGTTTTGCTTACAGTTTGTATTGATTCTAATAAAGAGCCACCTGATGCAGGCGGAGAGGGTGCTTTATGAGTCTTTATGGATGATCTTTTTTCTGATTGCTGTTGCTGATTTGTTGACTCTTGCTGCTGCTGTTGTTGCTGTATAGATGACTGCTGTTTCTCATGGTTTTGATGAGAAAAGGGCTGTTGCTGTTTAGCAGCGGCCTGCTGTTGTTGTGTAGCAGTAGGCTGCTGTTGGTGTGTAGCAGTAGGCTGCTGTTGGTGTGCAGGAGTAGGCTGCTGTTGCTGTGTAGCAGTGGGCTGCTGTTGCTGTTTAGCAGTGGCCTGCTGTAGCTGTGTAGCAGTGGGCTGCTGTTGCTGTTTAGCAGCGGCCTGCTGTAGCTGTGTAGCAGTGGGCTGCTGTTGCTGTGTAGCAGTGGGCTGCTGTTGCTGTTTAGCAGCGGCCTGCTGTAGCTGTTTAGCAGTGGGCTGCTGTTGCTGTTTAGCAGTGGGCTGCTGTTGCTGTTTAGCAGCGGCCTGCTGTAGCTGTTTAGTTGTGGGCTGCTGTTGCTGTTTAGCAGCAGGCTGTTGCTGTTGTGGCCGTTGCTGTTTAGGAGAGGGCTGTTGATGCTGTTGTTTAGGAGATGGCAGCTGCTTCTGATTCTGTGAATGTTGCTTTTGCATAGCAGGTTGTTCTGACTGTTTCTGTTGTTGTGACTTAAGTGAAGAACGACGAGCCTGTGAATCTTGTTTTTGAGCAGGAGTGGTAGCCGCACGACTGGCTGCTAGATTAGGAGGCTCTGGTGCTTTTCTTCTTGGCTGCTGTGGGACATCTTTACTTTGTTGTTCTAATACTTCAGATCTGTGCTTAATTAGCTTCCTGTTTACATGAAAAATGGAAAATGACACGTCCCTGTTCCGTTCATATTTGAGTGACATATACATTCAAAGCAGATCATGACCGAAATCTCAGACCACTTTCAGTGCACCTGCATATGTACAACACATTGTACTAAATCTGAACAAAATCCATCCATGCATGACTGAGATCCGGTTCCGGTGCCTTAAAATGGCCATCATTCAGCTATTGTTAAGCGGATCATGAAACAAATGCACATATCTATTTGTGACATGATGTACCATGTGTATGTGAAGTTTGAACTTGATCAATCCAGACATGTCTCAGATACGGATCCAGAACTGAATTCTTTAAAACAAAATGGCCACCCGTCGGCCATTTCAAACCCGATCAAAAAAAAAAAAATGACGTGCATCAAGGTCCTATTATGTTTAATGTATGTACCAAATTTAAACAAAATCCGTCCATGCATAACTGAGATCCGGTTCCGAAATGGTGAAAATGTGCGATTTTGATGCATTTTCGGCCTTAAAATGGCCGCTATTCGGCTATCGTTAATCGGATCATGAAAAAAATGCATGTACATATGTCCCATATAATGTGTGATGTATGAGTAAAGTTTGAACTTAACCGATCCATGCATGCTCGAGATACAGGTGATCACGGATGCACGGACACACAGACGCACACAGAGCAAAACATAAACTACGTTCGAACGGGGACTAATAATAAAGTCAATTTTCAAAATACAAAAACTTTATGCTTGATTCAAAAGTCAACTTTTCCTTTTAAAGTTTTTCATTATTTTACTGTATAAGTCTTAATTGTTAGCTGGGTTTTATCTCCACTTTATTTGAATGTGCTAAATTAACACCTGGTGAATATGCAAAACAAACCATAGAAAGACATTGTCCAACATTATAATACCATAAACAAACAAACAAACAAATCATTTACGACTGAACCTCCCATCAGTGCACAACTCCCCTCTCCAACAATCTCATCGACTGACTTTTCATGCCCAAAATTATGCACACAATAAAGGCAAGATGATAATTTCATGGATATGAAGTAGGCGAAAATATCACATTAAACAGCTAGTGGTTCTGCCTGTTATGGTGTTATCAAATATGAACAAAGTTCTCATTTTAATAGTGAAATAAAACTAAAATTCAGTCTTCAAATACACTCAAACTATAACATTTTACACTGAAATACTTAATCAGAATTGTGGATGAATATATGTACTTTGCATTATGTGTGTTATAAATTGTAGAAGCTTGAATGGTCAATGGCGATTTTAAAGTGACATAGCCAATCGTCATTTTTGAGTTTGTACACAGTTAACTAAAAACACCCATGATGCTCAGCTTCATTTTATATTTTGCTATTTTCTAGATTAAGAACTTTATAGTGCGAACATTTTTAATGTAAAATATCTGTGAATATATTCCCTCACTACTGCATGTGTACAGTTGGTTAGTTCAGCAAGTTATTTTTGGAGGTCGTGCGCAGTCTGAAGCTCAATGTGTGTGTGTAGCTAGCTGACTTGGCAGTGAATGACTTGTTGGTTTGTTCATGGTATTATAATGCTGGAAATTGTCTTTAAATCCCTGCAACGTGAAAACTGCTAAAATTTAAACCAGTGATTATTATTCATGGTAAAGTGTTTTCACACAATTATTATTAATTATAGCGTGAATAAATAAAATGTCCTTATTTGCAAATTGGTCAAAATATATCATAGTTATTAATAATATTTCTTTAAATCAAAATACTCAAAAATAGTCATTTAAACGTAAACCAACTGCAATTACACTAGAATAATATTATTCTAATGAATTTATGAAAAAATCATTTTTGATGTGACTAAATATTGGGATGGGATAAAACTTACTGTAAACAAGTCCTCTGTTCTTTGGTGTAGTTTCCGCCATTCTGTGTGGCCACAAGGTGAACGGATTCTATTGCACGGTCAATGGATTGCAACAACTCGTCATTAGATACCTGTAATATGGCAATAAATCAGAAATATTTCAAACATCCAAGTATATTTATTAACTCTATCATAATTAATTGGACTATGAAAATATGTATTTCTGGAGGAAGCTGAAATAATAGTGAAGTAACATTTTAAAAATAATATTTTTGAGTAATTGAATTATTAAAGTAGATTTCATAATAGTGAAATTAAAGACGCCAATTGAGGTGATTTCAAGCAGAGAAAATGTAGAAAAAAAAACAACATAAAAATAAAAGGCATAGAGCCTATACATGTGGTTGAACAAAGGCGAGAGAGCAGAACTGGATAATTTTTTGTTTTGCAAATATCAGTACCAAAATATTCACATCATAGAAACTGACCATGTATTTCTGAATGTGTGTGTTTTCATTCAGATACTGGAATGTTGGTGTGATATTTGCATAAACTGAGTGGAATATTAATGATTTATTCTATTTCACTTCGCTGTGGAAAATGGCTTTCTCTAAAGTGAGAAATGGCAGGAATTAATTTTGTGAAATGAACACACACACACACAAATCATTGATGTAAATACCCAATTATACGTGATTGAACTAATATGTGCATATTCCAAATGTTGTCAAGATTTACGTTAAAAATAACACTAAAAAAAATAAGTAATTTAATTTCATCATAATCTATGAAAACTCCAAACAATAGACATTCATTATGATGATGCTTTCAAATTATACTTTTGACCAAAAGTTCCCTCTTTACATTATGTGAACAAACGGGGTATTGGTAATCCACAAGTTTGTGCCTCGAAGCTCCCTCAATGTGCTTTTCCAGCAGAGAGAGTGGGTGGGTGGTGATCAACAAGACCTAATGGATTATTAAATAATACCCTTTTTTTGTCAACACCCCCACTCGAGCCACCCCCCCTCGCGACATGCACTGACTCACAGAATGGATTATATGCGATTTTCAGAAGGTTTTGTGGATACAGAAAGTGATTAAAACATAGCTGACCAATTTGAGCAATAAAAGTAACATACCTCATACTTCTTAATGTAGTTGGCAGGTACGAAACCAACTCTTCCACTTACGTTCATCACCTGCAACCAGTTTCCATGACTGCTGTCCAACAAAGTGAACTTGTCATCCTCGGAAAATGACAAAGTTTTCTGATCTTTACTGTCGAATTTGTATAAAGCACGATACATTGTTTACCAGGTAACACCCAGAACCGTAGATCTCCAATCATGAAGTTACAACACGGAAATGTTGGACACCTTGATCGGCACGCCGAAACGAAGTTGCGAGTTTTATCGGTTCGCCATTTTGTTTCGCGAGAAAGTGCGCCACCTTTGGTTTAAGTTTAAAGTGCTTTCGTTTTGACAAATCAAGAGGCGCTCAAATCAAAGATGGCCGCTCAAGTCAAGACAGTTTCCAAATGCTTCTTAGTAAGGTAGCAGTGTTTCTTGTCGGTCGACAAGCATATACCGAGGTAAGACCGCGGGTGACAACACAATGTCGTATGTGCCGTGATTTTGACTTTGAATCAATCATGCAATTGTCATGTTTAGTGATAAATTAGCGTGTCTTGGCGATCGCTGCATGCAGGTGCATGTACTCGCATCGCATTTGTTATTGTTTTAGTACTAATAAACAAGGACTGTCTCCGGATTGAATGAAATCCGGATTTGAAAGCATTAATTGACTGTGTATGCTTTCAAAACCACTTCGGGTAAATTCACTACGTTCAATTACCCACCATAGACTCCGGTCTATCAAAACTGTAGGTATTAATCAGCGATTCTGTCAATGACGGAGAGATAGAATCTAGGTCGGCTGTCCAAGGATAGATAGGTAGACAGGCTCCCGGCGTACGTAACACTCCTGCCGACTCCAGGAGCCTGGGCCAGGTTCGCTTTGCTAACCCTGTGGACCCACTTAGTTGTGTTTGCCTTTCCTCCCTTCCCGCTAGTTCACCGGGCACCGGAGAAAACTTTGACAGGTGCACACCTGCATATTATCATTGATCACACCCAATTGGCCAACCAAGGCCTAGTTTCCACTTCTGTCAGAAATGCTAGTCGAAACACCAGTAGTGCTTCCGGACTTACCGGACGACGCACTCCCAACGAGCCCAGCGGGTATCACTTACACTCAGTGTTCTCCCCAGGATGTAAACAGCGTGGCGGTCCCGCCACAGTGCTTTGATTAGTCGCCACAACGGTCTGACACCGCCACAGTGCTTTTTTCATTGGCACTCAAAATTAGCGACCGACCAGGACTGTTGTCATATTGTTATTATAATTACGTACCAACCAAAACGCATCCTGCCATTTGTGGATAATAATTTGTAAACAATAGACATAGTCGCACGATATGGTAGCGGCTTTAAACAATACAAGTAAATTTTGTAAAATTAGCACCTCTTTGTTTGTAAATACTTTCTGACGATAGACGCAGTCTTTAGATTGAAAGCTAAAATTCTTTCAAAATCAATTCCACCTCAATATAACATGGGCAAAGCGAAGTCCATGATCTGTTTACGCTACTAAAGAAAAAACAATGTGTTTATTGCATGATAGGGTAACATTTTTTGCATGGCATCATGACCAAGTAAGAGGAATTATTGGTATAATCGGTAACTAACATCGCAAAGTAAGTTATGTCACGTCGTAACTTTGATGATCGCTTGGAAGTGTTATTTGTTCGTTCATAACTCTAAATGTAAACATTGTAGAAGCTGATGGTCGGAATAATAACCAGCAATCCGCCAAATAATTACATGGTCGATTTTTTGAAGGAGAATTTTGTAGTAAATAAGATCATAAAAGTCTTGAACATAATCCTGGCTGGAACATTTCAGATGAGTTTCATTTAACCTTTTACAATTTATTTGTTTCTTTTTAGTCTGCAGCAATGTTTCATTTTTAAATTCAAACTCTTCTAAATTGTGAAACGTAATATTTTGACTCCAATGAAAAAAATATTTGCACTGTGACAGAGCTCATTAATATTACAAAAGTGCCCAAAATAAGTGTTTATAACACTGTGTAAAGCAAATAAATATCTGCCACTTTGTTTTTGAAAATATATGTTGTTTATTGCGTGGGTGTAAATGTTCTTTGGTCAATTTCTATTATTATGTAAATGATATGCAAATTATATGCAAATTAGTCCGCCATAGTGGTTTAAAATCCTGGGGAGAACACTGATACATGCATAGAGGCTCTCATTAGACCCGCACATACAAAAGCTTTATCTGAGCTGGCTGCCAACGTTCTGGCCAGGGCGAACAGGGATTCCACCATATATCACCTATCAAGACTATTTACTGCTTTCCAGTCGCAGAGACCCCATACAAAGGAACCGCACAACTGGGATTATACAGTTGTGTTGTCCGCTCTAAGCAGGCCGCCCTTTGAGCCTCTCCGATCAGCACCACTCAAATTTTTGACGTGGAAAATAGTCTTCCTACTGGCCCTCGCCTCAGGTAGGTGTCGGCCAGAGCTGGGGGCATTGTCCTTCTTGGATGATGTACCGCCGTTATGGACAATCAAGTTGTGCTATAGACACGAATCGGGTTTCTCGCCAAGAACCAAATCCCAAGACAGGATTCTCACCTGATCGTCATCCCCCGGCTGTCAAATTTTGTCAGCCCGGAGGGTCAGGAGAAATTGCTTCTCTGGTCAGTTCAAGCACGGAGTTGCTACCAAACCGTACTAATGATTCAGGACGGGATGCCAGGCACATGTATTTGTGTTACGGCCCAGGCAGGCAGGATAGGCTGGCCTCCCCAACTTCCATAACCAGGTGGTTTACTGCGACTGTATTAGAGGTCTATAAATACTTTAACTGCCTCGACACAGAGCTTGCAGAGACATAAAGTACGAGCGCATGAGGTCTGTGCGATTGCTAACTCACTAGTGCTAGCGTCACGCCCCCCCCCCCCCTCGAGCACACACGGAGGGCATTCTTCTGGAGAAGGCAGAACGTCTTTATCAACTACTACCTAAGAGACACCAAATCCATTTTGAGGAGGGTCTCTTGAGGTTGGGTCCCGTCGTAGAGGGTCAGACTTGGTTTGCTGACCCAGCGCGAACGACCACAAGGGTCCCTGCGCATGGTCAATAAGTCAGTCTCTGCATTTTTGCGGACAGATTTCTCTACCATCAGCACTCCCTGGAAGTTCCCAGGTACCGCTTTTCGACCTATGCCCTGATGAACTGTTTCGGTCTTTACTTCGAAAGCTTACTACCCCCCGAATTGGGTTGGGGTCTAGCTTTCTCGGGCACACTGAACCCTGTCACCGTAGCAGCATTTTGGCTTCTTGCTCCGGGGACAGCACAGGCAAGGTAAGACACCACTCTTTTTGGGTCTTAACTAAGGTGTTGAGTGATTACTGTAGAATGTTTCATCTCAGACTGGGAAAAGACTTTCATCATTTTTCTGTTTGCTCTGAAAACCCGCCACCTATCCGCATTTGACTCTGCCTACAGTTCAAAATACCGGTAGTCATTTTGACTGACTGGAGTCTATGGTGGGTAATTGAATGTAGTGAATTTAGGCGAGGGTCTCC